ACTTTTATTTCAATTGCATGTGAACCTTACGCGCACTTTTTTTTCAAATTTTGAATATTTGCCTTCCTAAAAAAACTCATCGTTTTTCTTCAGAATGCCAACACAAATAAATCATTTGAAACAGGTGCTTTGTTTTTTTACAAACTTATCTTTTTAGGTAGACCTGTCGTAGGAATCAATAGGAATAGAATGTTTTTCGAATCATTCGAATCGGGTGCCCCGGTCTCGCAGAAACCGAACATCTGCACATCTGGTTTCCGTATCACTGAAACGGCTGGACCTGTCTTTGCCAAAAATTTAAATAATGATATAAATAAATAATCTTTTAAAATTATTTCATCCAATTCAGCCCTGTGCAGGGTCCACCTGTACCTGTAGCCTTATCTCAATAAAGATGTTTGAGTCGATAAAATGACTAAGCAACATGTAGATACATGGGCCCATTTCTTTCATGCGCCTATAAATTTGTTTAAGGACTGATTTAGGTAAAATTGTCGGAATGCACGCGCATCTAACCCGCATGTCAGCAATAAAACATCAAATAAATAACGATAAATATCTGTATCATTAGATTATCGAACATCAGTGACAAGCACGATGTGACTCTTTCAGAAAATGATGAAAATTTCCGGCCTATAATAAGATGTCGAGAAAATTAGGGGACTGAAATAGTACAAAACTAATCGAAAACTTTTCTAAGAAACTTATATGTTTTTCCTAAATTTCTTGTATTTATTGAGTCATCTTATAGTCTTTTTTATCAATCTTATATTTCTTTATTCTATTTTTATCATTTAAGAAGGTAAAGATAAAATTTTAGTTCAACTTCAAAAGGTTTCATTATTAATCAGCCTAATAATAATATGATCAAACCCATCTAAATTATTCTAAAACACGTTCGTGGACAGTAAGACTTTTAGCAAGGAAAAAAATCGCATTCATTATATTAACTTTCTGAAGGAAAAATTCATATTTCTGTCAAAAAATCCGATTTGTTAATTTTATGAGACCAAATTCTAGCGGATTTTTTACCTTTTCTCAAAATCTGCTGAACCGATTTCAGAAATTTAAAATCAATTTGATGTATCTCGTATGAGGACTAGCGTTTATCACTTTTACTCAACGATTATCCAAGCCGTTTCTTTGTAAATAGCAGAAAGTGAAAAAAAATGTCCACGTTTTAGCCTGTAATTCTGAATCGATTTTGACAATTCAAAAACCGTTCGAAAAATATTGGTTGGGAATCGTGTTGATTAGTTTTTGGTAAAGATCTACCGAAACGTTTTCTTGTAATAAAGTGTTAAAAACTTTTTTTTCGATAATTTTTATGAATTTTTTTGACAGTAGATACCAGTCTTATAGATCATACTAAAATATTACGGTTCCACGGCATGTCGTTCAATTTTAAAAATTCGTCAAAGTTTGCAAAAATTAGTTTACATATTACTCTATCTAAACTCTGAATAGACTTACTCTCCGGAAGTATAGAAGAGATATCAAACTTCTCTGAACAATATTTTCGAATATTGTCTCAACTTCGGGTTCCACATACGGAGCAAAAACGGTTATTGTACGTACATACTTGAAAATATAATCTATATATACATCTCTAACAATTAAAAATTAAAAGTGCAATTCACTACTTATGGTAAAAAATTCACAACAAATCATACTATTATCATCATTAAAACCTAAATTCCCAAATATTATTATCCGACTTTAACAAACATGAGTGCAATTAATAGTAAATTCATAAATAGTCATTATTATTTTGTCAACAACTGACTTCAACAATTTAAGCAACAATATTATTTATGAAAGTTCTATTAAACGTTTTTCATTATGGAAATAAATATAATACAATAGTAAAAATAGTCTTTTGTAGTCATTTATTTACTCTTTTATATAATTCATTACCAATTAATTAGATTTTTTCATTAATTTTTGTTAAAACGCCGATCAAACGTGACGAAAAGTCATCGATAGAATAATAAAAGAATAAATGAAAGTAATTATATTGTAATAAAATACAAAGAATTTTCAATTGAAAAAAAAATGTGATTAAAAATGTTTTTGTAATTACACTAATTACTACAGATAAAATTTGCCATGTGTTTTTAAATTTTTGCAAAATACTTTTTTCAAATTTCAATTCTCGAATGTGATTTTGGAGCTTGTAATTATGAAACTTGTGATGCTGCAACTCGTGATGTTGCAACTCGTGATGTTGCAACTTGCGATTCTGCAACTTGCAATTCTGCAACTTGTGATTCTGCAACTTGCGATTCTGCAACACATGATTTCGGAGAATCTGCTGCAATTGCTACTTTATTACTTGGCTTGAAATTTCCTATAGTTAATTTGGCTTTTTTTGTATCAATAATTTTCTGCCTGCGTAAACCATCCACTCGCCTATAAAACAACAAAATGCAACCCACAAACCCAGGAACCAACCATGAAATAAAATCTTCAAATGATCCAAAGAAATTACCACCAAGAGTTTGTTTTTCATATTAGTTTTACCAATTTTTTAATCTTGTTTAAATAAAACGTATCGTCTGTAATTTTGTCAACAATTCCAAATTCGAACAACCTCATCATGACGTCATTGATTCTTTCCTTATAAGGAGAGTTTTTTAAAACAGCAAACGATGTTGGATATTTTAAAACATCATCGATTACATGTGTGAATGTTCTGTTTCTATCCAATAATGCAAGAAATGAATTCGCAAATGTAGATTTTAGGACAAATGCATCTTGCTTTTTTTCAAAAACTTGGGTTATACCATTTTTTAGTTTTGAGTATATAAAACGATTTTGGCTTTTATTGTTTATGCTCCATTCCACATCTTTAATGAGGATGTTTATGGCAATATGTGCATATATTGTCAGATTGGAATCTACTAGTTCTTGCATGTTCTTGATGTCCAAGGATTTTGGTGGAGTCATCAACTTGTTCACCAGTTTTCCTTGGATGAAATTGCTGTACACCACACTGCTCAATGCTGAAGTTAGGAATAATATACGCTCAAGGCGTATTTTTGGCGAATTTTGTGATACCATCAAAGCAATTCCATAAGATGCAAAAATGAGATCCATAAATCGTTTGTTGGTAGTTTCCACAAATTTGGCACGAAAATGCATCAGAACCCACCAAATCAAAACCAGAACTAATATCGTCGGTATGATAGTTAACCAAAACCATCTATCTTTAGAACTCATGTAACTATAATCCTTTACGTATCCAATTTTTGGTGTCAGGACACTTATAGATTTTCTGTGAATTGGATACAAAGCTGTGACATAGTCGGTTTCTTGGCAGACCTTTAATTCTCCTAAATTTGCAGAAATATCTGCATGTTTGTCTATAAGTAGGTAGATACCTGTACACTCGTTGTTTTTATCCCAATTTGCAGGAATTACAAGGATTTGTGTGTAGTTCATGGCTTTTTGTAATGTTTGAGCGATTGTTGGATCAATTCCAGTGAAACCTCAAAAAAAATTAAATTATTATATTATTTCATTGAGATTGAAAATAGATAATCACATAATCCACAGATTTACAGATTTTGATGGTATCCTGGCAAAAACTTTTATATGCTTAGATTTAAATCTTCAATAACTAGCTAAAATTACTTTTTTGATTATAAAACATCAAAATTAGAAGAAAATTGATCCCAAAATTTAATTAGTTGATTGTGGCATTTAACCTCAGTTAATTTAGATATTTATATATATTAGTATATATATATATATATATATATATACTCACCGAATATATGTTCTGTTTTTATTAACAATATCATACGAATATTCATATTCGCGCCGCCATAAACTCTGACAGGATAACCGTTCATATTCAAAATCCTTTTCCCATAAACATCCATAATTTTTTTGATATTTAAATTTTGCGTAAAATGAAATTCATACATATATCCACCTTCTGGTATATTTTTAAAAGGATTATAAAATGCAAGAACGAATTTGTTTTCTTTTTTGAAAATTATCAAAACGTTTAAAAGTTGATGTTGTTGCCAGGTTTGCTGCAAAAAAATAAATACTTGTTCTTGATTTGCATTTGTTGTAATAAATATTGTGTCGTCGTTTCTATTTTTGGATATTTTGTACAGGATGTCTTCAGTTTGGTTCAGGATTTGTGATATTGTTATGTTAGTCCGGTTGTTGAAGGTGAACTGAAAAATGTTTTTAGTTTTAGTTATGTATAACTACAAAATTATTCTGTGTAAACTCTAAATAAACTTACTCTATTAAAGTATGAATTTGAAGAGGTGTAAAACTTCTCTGAAAATAATTTTTAATATTGTCTCAACTTCTGTTTCCATGTATGGAGCAAAAATAGTCATTGTTCGTGAATCCTAGAAAATACAATACATATATACATATTTAATAATGAAAAATTAAATGTGGTTTTTAGTTCAGAAGTTGACATGTTTGTGCAATCCACTACTTACATTAAAAAATTCCAACACAAATTTACCAGGCACAACACTAATATCATCATTAATACCTAAATTCCCAAATTTTTATCCGAGAGCATTTGATTTCAATAAACAAAAGTGCAATTAAAAGTAAATTCATATTTTTAGACATCATTTTGCCAACACCTGAATTCAACTACCAACAGTATTTCTTATGGTAGTTCTATTGTTTTTCATTATGCAGAAACTTATTATAATAGAATTAATTGTCTTATTGTAATCATATAGTGTTTTATATAATTCTCTAATTTATTATAAGTTTTTTTGTTAATTTTTGTTAAAACGCCGATCAACCGCGACGAAAAGTCATCGATAGAAAAATAAAGGAATAGATGAAAGTGATTGTATTGTAATAAAATACAAAGAATTTTCAATTAAAAAAAATGTGATTGAATAATTTTTGTAATTACACTAATTACTACAGATAAAATTTGCCATATATGTTTTTTCAAAATACTTTTTTCAAATTGCATTTCTCGAATGTGATTTTGGAGCTTGTAATTATGAAACTTGTGATTCTGCAAGTTGTGATTCTGCAGCTCGTGATTCTGCAGCTCGTGATTCTGCAGCTCGTGATTCTGCAGCTCGTGATTCTGCAGCTCGTGATTTTTCAGCTCGTGATTCTGCAGCTCGAGATTCTGCAGCTCGTGATTCTGCAGTTTTTGATACTTCAACTTTTGTTTCTGCAACTTGGGATTCTTCAACTCTTGATTCCGCAGCTTTCGTTTCTGCAACTTGAGATTCTGCAACTTGAGATTCTGCGACTTGAGATTCTGCGACTTGAGATTCTGCGACTTGAGATTCTGCAACTTTCGGCTCTGCACAACTTTCGACTCTGCAACTTTCGACTCTGCAACTTTCGACTCTGCAACTTTCGACTCTGCAACTTTCGATTCTGCAACTTTCGATTCTGCAACTTTCGATTCTGCAACTTTCGATTCTGCAACTTTGATTCTGCAACTTTCGATTCTGCAACGGGTGATCTGCAATGTGTGATTCTGCAATATGTGACGTTGAAGAATTTAAATTTGCAACATGTGATATTAGAGCTTCTGGAAACATGTACATTTGCAACCTGTAGTGTCGAAGTTTGTGATTCTTCAACGTGTATTTCTGCAATATGTATTGTTAGATTGCGATTCTGCAACTCTTGTTTCTCCAATACATGATGTTGGAGCTTCTGATTCTGCATCATGTGATGTTGGAACTTGTGATTTGCAACGCATGCTTCTGCAACTTCTGTTTCCGCAACTTTGATTTCTGCAACATGTGATGATGAAGTTTGTTATTTTGCAACATGTGATTTCGGAGTTTGCAAATCTTTGCAATTGCCACTCGAACAAATTTATTACTATTCGATAAAACTTGTTGAGCACTCGCGTTTGTTTTTTATACGATCGGCTCAACCGTTTCTTTTAAATTGCAAAATAATGCAAAATTTTTCGACCGCGTTTTAGCCAAAAATTCTGGCCCAATTTGAAAATTCAAATATTATTCGAAAGGTATCATATGATAATTGTGCTGATTATTTTTGTTTTGTCCAAAATCGTCGACAAAAAATTATGTCCCACAAATGTTCAGAAACTCTGAAACGTAAAGATATGCAATTTTGATTTTTGAACAAATACAATAAATTATCCTACAGTATAAGTTAATAATAGATTAAAATTTGAATCCTATAGTCCCTTCAGCATCACGTCAGCGAAAGTGGTAAAATGTTATTTTATAAAAATTGCATTATGAGTGAGAAAAGCATTATTCAAAGGACAGAAATAGAATTTCTAAATATACCGGTGATATGTGTTCATTGATTGATATGCAAAAGAGCTTAGTTTCCGTTCTGATTTTCTTAAGTTATTGCAATGGATTTCTATAAATAACGTTTCTTAGAGGTGCGTCCACTGCGCCTGCTTATATAATGATAAATTTAATGCAGTTTCATAGATTTTTTATACATTGTTTTTGCACTTCGAAGCGTGCGTATTTCAGTAAAGTACATAATTTAAAGTGATCATTTGAAATGTAATATTTGATTTACTGTTGAAATATAAGTACGAATTTATTGAAACTAGTTTTTATATACTTTTATTAACGATGCAAGTAGAAATTCGCAAATGTCAACGTTGCGCTT